CAGAAGAGTGCTGTTTTTTCAAGGTCATAACTCTACATTGTAACAACTCTGCCACTCATATTTTCAGATCTTCCTTTAGCACTTCTATTTTTCAGGTATGCTGCTATAAGAAAGGCTATTAATTCAGGTGTTGGAAATGGTCTCTTTAATCAGAAGCCTGTACTGTGATTGCAGAATATACTAGGCAGTAGATGGCAGGAATCCAAAACGAGTCAGACACTTCTACAGTGCTGTGTGCTCTATGTACACCTACCTCTGCCTGCTTTGGTATTTACTGCTACTACATGCCACATGAGTCACCAACAAACATTGCTACCTGTCCCCCTTGCTGCTTGTGGTACCAGCTGGGTCACAGCTGTGGGCACAGTATTGATGGCAATACTTTCCAGGTTTTGTTCCCCCACACAGCCGAGGAGTGGAGGGAGCACAGCTGGGCTCCTGCACGGTGGTGGTCTCTTCATCAGGGCTGCTCAGCCCACCAACAGCACCAGGATGACGACCCAGGCATGCACATCTCTCAGAGAGCCTCCTCATTCCAAACTTTATACAGGGAGAAGGCTCCAGAAGGATCGGGTCTCCATCTTTTCAGCTTGCCTGTGACTGTAGCACAGTTTGCACGGGAGCAGTGCACCCATGTGTCAATCCAACACCCTAGGGAGCATCTGCCTTGCTGTGCAAGGACAGCCACCCTGTCATCTGCTAGGGCAAGGTCCATCACGTGTATCTGTCTCTTCACAGAGTGTTAAACCTGTTAGGCACCCCTGCTGAGCTGACGCGTTCCTGCAGGTCAGGACTGCAGCTTCTCTCCCTCTACACGGAGCCCTGTGAACGCACTCTGTGCTTGGCTGGGCTTTGAATGACCCTGCTGTCCCCATCTCCACGTCACCTTGTTCAGCAGCAGGGCTGACATGAACGTTGCCTGTTTGTACCTTCCAGCTGGGAGCATCCAAGCATGCCCAGGCTGCTTTCCCAAGCTTGTGAAGTCCTGAATCTACGTTTAGATCATTGTGACCCGTCTAATGTAAAAGTCTAAAGCACAAATGAAAGAAACAATTGCAGACCAGGCCCCTGAAGTTTGGAGTGGCACTTCCCTGGGGTATTGCTGTGAGTCTGCTGCCTCCTGGAGATGCTGTAAAGGTGCTGTGCTTTGTGTCACTGGGATCCCCAGAGCCAAGGCACATCCCAGGCAGGCAACTGACTGGGGAGCAAAATGGAACCAGCAATCCCACTGGGACTGGCTAAGAAAGCCAGATTTCACTCTGCCTCTCACACTGTCAGGAGGAGATGAGCCCTGGGAACCTGGATCAGGCCATACCCTGATCTAGGAAATGCTGGTGCTGTGTCCTTTCAGCAGCAATACACTCTATTCCTGATGGGAAAAGTGACTGTATGCAAGACAACTCCGTTGCTGCTGCTCCTTCTAATGAAGCAGGAATCAAGGTCAAAGCCAGGTGTCTGCAGCAAGCAGTGCTGCTTCTGTGCCTGACCTTGGTTGTGTTCAGTGGCCCCACCACAGAAGGAGCTCTTTGGTGCAGCTGCTTTGTGCATCTCTCACTGACGAAGGGACAGACTGAGAGCGATACCTGTTGCTCTTTGCTTTCTCACCTTTACCAGCCCCCTCTTGGCCTGAATCAGAGAATTTATTCCCTCCCCCACATCCAACACCATCCCTTCTCTAGCATCGTCTCTCACTAAAGCAAGAAACATTTCTATTAAGACTTTTCCAGCCCTTCTCCTGCCTCCCAGCTAACTGCAGGTGCTTCAGAGGTTCTCTCTGAAGACAAGGGGAGTACAAGGTTAACAGAGCAGGGACTGCAGAACAGCTCCATAAATGAGAAACCTTCCCTTCTAAATGGGAGACGACCCCACTTCCAGTGCCTCTGCCTCGTGCTTGCACTGGCATTTTCTCCTCGTTCCCTGCAGCCTGATCCTGAGACACCCCACTCCTGGTAGCAGGACCACGTACTTGAGGGGACACCTTTGCACACCTTCACTCGAAAACAAGTTTCAGAAAACTGTCCCTGTCTTAGCAGTCTCTCCTTAGAGGGAAAAGAAGCAGCCTCCTGGCCCAGCTGCCTGAAGGCACGATGACCCCTGGCAGAGCTGCAGCCACCTCAGGTGCAGGGTCAGTGTGCAGTGGTGGCTCTGTGGGTGCCTCTCTTTGTAGGCTGCAGCGTGGCCCTTTTCTCTGTGTGCTACTGCCAGAGCAGGGCTGAAGGGAGTTCACTTTGCTCTCTCTCCTCTCTGGTTTTTCCAGGCTTTCTGGTGCCTGGTCGAACACAGAGAGAGAAGGAGCCCCTGCTGAGAACAGGGTCTGCTGAGGTGCCTGGGTTGTACAGGGGCGGGAGGCAGAGGATGCTTCTGCTGCACACACAGCCAGGCCTGGCATTGCTTGGCCTCAACGTGGAGTTGTTGAGTTAGTGAAATTTCCTTCAGACAAGCAAAAACGGTAGAAACAGTTAACTGGTTTCTCTTCTCCTCAGTCTTTCTCCAAGATTTGTGGCAAGGAGTTAACTCCTTCCGTTTCACCAAAACACTGCACTAGTGCTGTATTTGAGGACAGATCCTAGATAGGGTTTCTGTTAAATTCTTGGCATAACACAGAGCTAATTATGATCCCACGTAGTTCAGTACTCTTTTTCTAAGTGCCAATAAAGTCTGCTACCTTTACAAATTTATAATGTCAAAAAACTGAAGAGCAGCTTCAAATTAAAATATGAACAGCTCGTTTTAACACTGCTGTCACCTGTACTCCATCCTCAATGAAGCCTGGCTGTGTGAGTATTCCCCTAAGCATATCCAGCTTGTTCTCATCTCTGTGTAGTCTCATGAATTTCTCATGCACTCAGCATACTGTACATGTGCAGTGAGTCCAGGTGTCAGTGCTATCCTCAGACAATGTGCTCTGGACACATCCACACCTGATGTAAGCCCAGTGAACTCAGAGGTGCTGCAGCACCACATGCTTTGGCTAGTTCTGTTAAGCACTAGCACTGGTGCCACTGCTCTAATCAACTGATGTCTGATCCCTTGAGACATGCATGAGACCATTGCTAGTTTGTACCACATCTGATTTTAGCCATGTTCTTAGAATGACCATGCTGGGTCTGTAATTACACTATTCTCAGGGAGCCGGTGCAAGTATGTGCAGAATGTTCATTAAATGATTTTTCTTGTCTGTGCACGCAAGACTTGCCCCCATTTCAGAGACGTACAAAGGCAAGCTTAGCCACAGAGTGCTTCATGACAGCTTCTTCACCTGAGAATCCTGAGAGGGTCTTGCTCACTTCCTAGGGGACTGGTGCTGAAATCAGAACCTGTCATTACTATGGACATGTAAGCAGCCCCTAAGGAATTAATGAAGAGGAAACGACCTCCTACTGCTGCTGCTGGGTCTCTTCAGGTCAGGGCTGAGACTCATCAATGTTTTGGAACACAGATACTTGCATGTGCTCTGCATCCTCTGTGGGTAAATACACAACTTAACTTTCCAGTCCTCTGAACTATTAGCCAATCGGCAAATTTTAATTATAAGCCAGAAATTGGAAAAACAAAAACAAACCCAAACCAACACAAAGCACATAAATTCATACTGAGTGGTAATTGCATGCATGCTGCTCAGAGGCAGGCATCTCTTCATGTCTGATTAAAAATTTTTCTATGCAATAATTGCTTGAAGAAGGAATTAAGGTGAACAAGCATTTAGAAACTGTAGACTATTACCTATTATTGCTGCTTGCCATTCCACACAGCACTTAAAATGTGTAGCTCTACACAGGCACAACTAAACTCTCTTTTATCACAACCTTAAAATACCAATTCACCTTGGTGCATCAGAACTTTTTCCCGGCTCATTCTACCTGTCCTTGGTATTACTCCAAGTCACTCTCAGGCTGGAAGCATTAAGCCAGTGAGCAAGCCATGCTGCTTGCCCACCCAAGCTGTGCTGGGATGGCATCTGTGCCCACTGTAACTACAGCAGCTTCCCTCGGTCCTGCAAGCTGAGGCATCTCACTGGCAGGCACAGGCAGCCCCCTCCAGGAGGAAGCACCTGCTGAGTCCCTGTCTGGGCTGAGACACTGCTGCCGATGTGATGCTCGTGTGGCATCGGCACGTTTGGAGCTGTGTGCTGCCAATGGTGTCTCACAGGTCACATCCAAGCCTGGGACATCCTTTCCTTCCTTATTTGTGCTGTCTCTAGCTTTTCTTATTCCAAGCATCTCTACAATGTCTTTGTCCCCTTTTTAAGTAGGAAATTTTGCTCAGGATTATACACTCTGGACACTGGTACCTGTCAGCTGGGACTTTCTTCCGAGCCCTGTACCTGCATTCGGGGTCTCAGTGTCAGCACTGCCATTGCCTTTGCAGTGCACTGACCTCAAGACCGGACTTTCTATCTCCTGTCCTGCTCCACCAGCCACAGGGACAGGCTCACGAGTGTGACAACTGTCTGCTAAGCTCCTGACAGAGCGCTCCTTCCCCAGTCAAGTAGCGTAATGGTGGCGTGTCACTTCCTAAAGCCAGCCGAGCCCCACGGAGTCGGGTGGGAATTCGCAGCAGAAAAACTCGGTAGCCACACTTGTGCTCACTGCCGGCCGGGAACGCGATCCGTGGGGACCCGGCCGGCTGGGCACCGCTCTGCTACTCACATGGCCAAAACGATACTGGTAGAAACTTCACGACAGACAGACTGTGTATGTCAAGTTCAAAGTCAGGGTGCCCGAAGCCGGGTGGGAGGGCGAGGGCAGGCAGGGACAAACCCCGGCGAGGAAGGCAGCGCCGGGACGGCAGCCACGCCGGGCAGGGAGATGCTGCTGCTGTCCGGGAGATGCTGCTGCTGTCCGGGAGGCGCTGCTGTCCGAACCGCCCGCGCTCGTCCCGCCGGGCACGCGGGGCCCGGGGCATCCCCAGGACACCGCGGGCGCTGCCCCCGCCCCGCCCCGCACAGCGGGCAGGAGCCGCTCGGGGCCCCGCAGCCTCGCCCGTCCCGCGGCACTCACCCGGCAGCCCGAGGCACAGCAGCAGGCTGTAGTAGACGACAGGTGCGTACCCCAATCCGCAGCCATAGCGGTGGTGCGCCAGGAGCGAGCCGTTGTGCAGGTGGAGGTGGTTGTGCTCCATGGACCCGCTGTCCCCGCTGCCGGCGCTCGCTCCGCCGCACGGGCCGCCCCTCGCACGCTCAGCGGCGGCGGGAGCGCGGCGCGGCCCCGCGGCGGGCGGCGGCACATGGCGCGGCCCCCGGGCAGCCGGCGGGGCCGGGCCGGGCCGGGCCGGGCGGGGCGGGGCGGGGCGGGACCGGCCCCCGCCTCGGGCCGCCCCCGGCAGCCCGGCTGTCAGCGGACACCTCCGCCGGGAGCCGCCGGCTTCGCGCTGGGCAGGGGCAGCGAGCATCAGCACAAGGGGTTCGTCCCCGAGCTGGCACACGAGTCAATAGGAGAAGAGCAGGGGCGAGGGCTGGCAGCGGCCCCGGGCTGTGCTTCACAGCGGCTGGGGAGGCAGAGGCGCATCCAGCAATGGGCGTTTGTATCTGCGGCGTCAAAACACAGAGCCGGGTTGATATTGCATTGTCCCTCTCTTCTCCCCGCAGTGCTGCGGGGTGAAGGACGGGGCGGCCAGCGGGGACACTGCCGGGCTCCGTTGGGGACACTGCCGGGCTCCGTTGGGGACACTGCCGGGCTCCATTGGGGACACTGCCGTGCTCTAGCGGGGACACCGCCGTGAACGGCTCCCGCAGGACAATGCTGAAGGGACATTAGAATTTCTAAAATCTTCTTCACCCATTCCTTAAGGCTTATGTACATTAGTACATAGTCCCAGCTATAACTAATAAAGGATTTCGAGTTAGGCTTGTTACCTTTGGGTGATGGAGCCCTGTCCTTTGTGCTACTGAGTGGGCTGGTGGGGTGTGAGTACGGTAATATGTCCAGGAGGTCGTGGTTTAGTGATAAAATAAATGTTTCATTACAGTGCATGCCTACTAAGCAGAAAACAAGATGTCTTTTCACCCAGAGCTTGTAGGGTTGAATGCCACAGACCAGCAGTGTGTGTAGGTTTCTGAGGTTGCCAGGGCAAGCCCAGAGGGATGTACATGTGCAGTGTGTGTGAGGTTGGTCAAGGAGGTGTGTCTGATGGGATACACACAAGATACAGTAGGTGGCTTACAGAAGTAAATAAAGATCTGATTCTTACTCTCTGAAAACACCTGACTGCCTGGGGTGGATAATGGTGGACCATCAGGTGAGTAAGTAAGGACTTCTGCACCTTTGGATTTCTGTGCTCTTGTTTGAAAAGTAGTTCAGCTTCTGATTGGAAACATAACCAGGAGCAAGCAAGGCTCTGGTCTTGTGAGGACTTGAGTAAGTTACTTTGCTCAGAAAGTCAGTAAGATTATTCACAAGATAAGTTAGAATCTGCTGGTACAGCTTTTATGTGGATGTATTCCTTTTGAAAATAATTTTTTCCAAACCATTCCTTCAAATTAACCAGCAGAAGTGTATGTGGGGGTGATTATATAGTACAAAGTCCTGCGAATTCAGCTTTGTCTTTTTTCCCCACCAGCTATTTAACCTACAGGGGTTTTTTTTCTTTTAAGTTCTTCTCATGTTTCTGCAACAGACCTGTGGAGGAAAGAGATCTTTTATTGCCTCCCAAAAGAGAAGTGATTTTTCCTGGAGCCTTTTCTTGGGGGCAGTAAGTACATCAGCAGGGCTGGAAGCGTGACTCACTGTTTCGAAGCTAAGTGAAGCTCATCAGCAAAACAAAACACAAAAGAAGGGGATGGCAGCGGAGCAGGTGATGGTTAAAAAATGCCACATTCAGTTTGCAGCACCATGAGTCTCTCAACTTTCCAGTTAAAAACAGTGAAATGCCACAAGAAGCTGGAGGCTAAGGAAGAACCTCTGCCATCTATTTTCTGTTGTGCTGCTGCCACTTTTAAGACTGGCCTAGTTTTGAACATCCTGAGCAATAGGCTTCCCTGGAGAGGCCTATTTCTATAATAGAAGCATATGTTTCCTCAGAGCTAGAGCTGTCCCCAGGGCATAGTTCAGGTAGCTGCTCCTGTGCTGAGGAGAGCTGATTGTAGTAAGAATCTTTTCCCATCTTCCCACCTGGATGTCTCAGTAGAGCCTCACAGGAGGCTCTGATGCCCGTGACATGTTCCTATTGTATGAGGAGGAAATCTGGGAAATTTGTTCACATTCACTAACAGTTCCCTCTCTCCTGCCCTGCAAATGGAGAGGCCACAGAAAGAAAATCTGCTCCTTGTACCTCAGTTAGCTTAATTGAACCTTCTTGAAGAACTTTTCTGCCTTGCTGCATCAAGACTTTCTAAGGCAGGATGAACTGGGTTTTCACATCAGATTTGCTTTTGCTTCACTGAAGTAAGATTAGTGAAATACTTTGTAATATATCAGAATTAAGGACCCAAAGTAAAGTTGAAAATTGCTCTTGTGTTCTGTGTGTAAATGGTATTTGGAGGGGCTTTTGTCCTTCAAACAACTTCAAACCACTTTTGGTCTAAATGAAATTATTTTGGTTGTTCTCCTCTCTGAATTGTGCAGTAACAGAAACCCAGACAGAAATGTCAATAAAGCCAATTCAAAACTAACCACAATGTTTGTTTCTACTTATAGCTATTTATTTTTAAGCTTCTTGCTATTTTCTAAAGGAATGACATTTACGTGTAACATCAGGGTCACAGTGAGGAGACCACTGCTCTGCTGCTGAATTAACAGGCAGATGCCCCTGGAGCCTTCAGTTCCTGAAGCTCATCTCCTAAACAGCCACATGCTCAGACAGTGAATGTTTATTCTTTTCCTGAGAGCAGTTTATTTTCATGGCATGCTACATAACAATAACAGGTACATGCACTCCACTTTAAAATTCCAGAGGCACTTGAACTTGGTCGGGCTTGTTTTATTTTTTTTCTGAGGAAATGAGCCTTCCTAGAAACAGCCAGACAGTGATCCTGGGGGCAGGAGGATGGAGTGACAAGTTAGTCACACACACCCCCATCCACTCGGCTGTGGAACAAAAGCACTGGTGACTTCAAGAGACAAATTCCATTTACTGAGGGAGCTGGGAGGAACCAAATGTTGTGTTGTGGCAACACACTGGTGTGAGTAACATGCCTGGAAGATAGCAAAGGTGAAACTGGAAGGGCAATGAATGGAGTGTGTAAAGGGTTTGGGAGAGGCTGTGTGAAGGTAAAGAAGTCTCTCGAAGGAACAGGTGTCATTTGGCCAAAAATATGTGTGTTAACAGTTCAAGAGGCCAGGGGCATTGGCAAGAGAACTTGGTTAGGGTCTGATCAAGGCTGTTGTACCTGTGTTGTAGTGCTGCAGGAATTAAACTCAGAGCTGCCACAGAGAAAATCATACCTATAGGAATGACAAGTCTCAGATTATACCTTATTAGATGCTTGTATGTAATTTTGTTGCAATGAAACCCTTTCTTCAAAGTAATATTTTTATCTTTCCGTACTGTTAGGCTGCAGGATAATTGAGTCAAATTCTCATCCTTTTGAGTGAAAGAACTGTCTTTATCAATAGCATTCTGAAGGTCTCTCCAGACTTGGAAGGTGAGGGAGACCTTTCCATGTTTTCATCAAAGCTGTTAAGGACAAAAAAGGTAATTATGAAAGCTCTTTACTAGAACTTTCATGTATATGCATTGGCAGGCTCCAGTTTTACCAGAAAATAGTGAAGATTTATTAATTTCTAAGGTCAGAAGTGTTTCTTGTTGCCAGGGAAGGCAGTGGATGCATCATGGCTTCTGCAGCTTGTGCTGCAGGTCCATAGCCTGCACCCTCAGGCTCCACAGCCCTGTAGACTCCTCTTCATCTCTTCTTCCTCTGGCCTTGTATCTCCTTGGAGACTCCAGGAAGGTTACAGCAGGTCTCAAACACTGTCTGTAATGGAGCTTTGCCTATGTGAACCTACTGAAAACAAGTTTAAAGCTTTTAAACACCAATTATTTCCTTCTAGAATTAAATGTTTATTCCCTGAACTCCCTTTTAGGTTTCAACTGACAAATCTCATTGTAATTAATTTGAGCTCTATTGTGAGTACATTTTCCAAGGGAACAGAAAACAGATGTGATAAATGCCTGAACATGAGATTTAACCTCACGTCTGTTTTAAAGAAGTTTTGTTTTCAAGAAGAGTTACAAAACGAACTGTGTTTTGTGTGTGTTTAATTGGTAGATGATACACCTGATTTTCCACTGTATTCTTTTCAGGTTACATTGAAAACATCTGATAGAAATGTGCACTGAAATAAACTCATTTCACCTGTCCAGTTTGCAGTGGTTATGACAAATTAGTGCTATTTTTGCAATAGTCAGCATACAGGTGGTTTTTGAGATAAATCTGTAACACAACAGAAGTCAAACGCTTTCTGAAAGACAAGAAAGTGAAAAGGATCCATCAGGAGCTTGCATGATGTACTTGTATGATGCTTAACTATGAAATTACTGGGCTAATTCATATCTTTAGCATAAGCATATGCTTAAATCCTTTGCTGGATTTCAACACAAATAAATTAAGATTAAAATGTAACTACTTGACAAATACTTCTGAAGATGGAGGCTAATTTATCCTCTCCCCAGGGTGAAAAGAAAGCACATGAGATTCATGTCACAGACTCTGCATTTCCTCTACTGTGATTTTAAAAAGTTGGATAAGAAAGTACTCGAATATTCAAGTTTGCTTGGGCTGGAAATTCCAAGTGGTTTAACTGTAGAAAAGGTGTGGCATGCACAGATCTCACAGTAGCATGCTGACAAATGGAGATGACACTTCCTTACCCCATTACTGAGCAGAAATCAACTCCAGCCTGTGAATACTAAGAAGAAGGGTGAAAACAGTTTAGATTATCTTATTTTTAAATCATTGTACCAATCATTTTTACTAATTATTAAAAAAAAGGTATTATTACAACATCACAGTGCATTACTATTTGCCAGGCTAAACCTCATTAGGCCTCATTTCAGGATCAAGTCACAAAGCTGAGTACTCTGTTCTGTAGTTTAGGGTTTCCTATGCAAATACCGTGTTTGGCTGGTGTGGTTAAACCCTCCCTGCACGTCTCAGAATAAGCTACATGATTTGGATTTGGAGCTTTTCTTGAAGAAAATGCATA